GGTTTTAATGGCAAATAAAAATTAATGAATATTGAAACGGGCTGTCAGCAGTTGCTCGGAAAGTTATTGGAAAGTAATCGCGTTGCGTAATTTCCGCAAACGTGCATTAACGGTACCAGTGCATAATAAAGATATGGCAATGCTGACGCATCTTCAGCTACCTCAATATACCGTCGTAGCCCGCACCGAGGCCCACGTGGTTCACACCAGCTGTTCGTCTGATATGATTGATGTGAGCTGTAAAAAAAGACGGCGCTGTGTCTATCTCGTTCCCGGAGTTTTTGATGTTTACGATTTCGACTGTCAATCTTTTGATGTTTCTCACACACCGGGCTACTTACGCACCTATGATATCGTACATGGAGGCCTTATCGCTGCAGCTCAAGTGCGCGCTGTCGAAACTGACCATAACCAGACCGCCGTTGAGGGACTGAAGCAAGCAGAGATGAAAGCCACGCGATTAATCCTCGAACAAATATCAAGTCACCACGATGAACACTACATAATCTTCTTGTCTCCACGAAATAATTAAAATTTTAATATTTAAACGGATAATAGATAAGCCATCCGGTTTGCAGATTATAAACAAAATTACATTTAGAGAAAAGTAATTCCTCAGACGAAATTAAAATGTAAAAATCGACGCCTAAGTTGTTTAAAGTTAAACAATTTATTTCTGAACCATCATTCGTACTTTGTAGTGTTTATCGCAGGGTAGTTCCAGGGGAAGTTTTCTCTTTCTTACCAAATTCCGCAGCACATCATCTGGGACATTGCTCGAGGAGTTGCAGAGAGCCTTGGCAGCGCTGTGCGAGAATATAACGGGCGCCTTTGTCACGGCGAGGGCGTCCCTCATCGTCCTCACCGAAACGTGAGAGAGATCCACGAGCATACCGAGCCGATTCAGCTCCCGGACAACCGCTTTGCCAAACGGCGAGAGGCCATCGCTGTGAAAATCGGAGGGCGCGTCCGAGTTCGGATCATCTACAGAGCACGAGTCCGCCCTGGAAATCAGAA